GACCTTCATCACTTTCTCCATTACCCATCGGATAACAGAGATTATATTAGTTGACCTTTAGTTCTGTATTAGGTTTTTCTGTCCTCCTCTGTGTTTACGATAAACGTATGTATGATTTCAGGTTTTGGATTACGTACTAAGTAACGTATGTGTTTTGAGTAATAGTGTCAGTATATCTGGTCTTACCAATTTGAAGACTGTCGACGTTATGTCATCCTTATAAAAGTTAAGGTATCTGTAATCATCTGGGGAGAAGCATGTAACAGGATTATATATGGATGTTTGGTCATAATAACTCTCTCCATCATGCAGAATAGAATGAATGTTTTAGTCTGCGTTCTTTCACATGAATTTTTGAAGCAAACGAAAGCGGTTACATAATTGATATTCAGTAGTGAGTGCATTACGTTCCTCTACTTGTTCACGTCTTTCAAATTCGGTATTTTTTCACATCCTGAATTAGTGAAAATATTTGGTGTTGGATGATGAAATCTTCTGATGTGTTAAATGTTCTTTTCCGTTTACGTGGCTTAGCCGTAACATTTCGCAACCAAATATGCTCTTGAAGCACAATGAACAGGGATGTGTCTGACTGTTGATTTCCGATGTCTACCAATTAACCAGGTTCCTGACGAGTGGCTCGCTAGTAGCAGTGTCAATAGATTCATGCGTATCAGTGAGATAGTTACAATATAGCACTTCGTACATATGTACATAAGTACCAATCGCCATACCACATTAGCACACAGAGGCGATTTTCAGTCCAAATCACATAGTGGTAGAGATAGTAGAAGTATTAGATGAAAAGTAGAAGATTAGGGGTCGAAGATAGTATTCAAGAAGTATGATTCAGTGTTGAGAGAAAAAGAGAGAGGTTAATAGGAATTCAGATAATTAGAATTTCAGAGAACACGAAGAGTGGATGCGCCTGCATCACTGAAAACGATTCTGAGACATGTCATTCAAGGTCTCTAACCATCCGTGACCATCGTCGCGGACCCCAAACAGGTAGTCTGCATCTACCATCACACCTTATTCCATTTGTAAGTGCCTTCATGGATTTGTGCCATGTTTTCGTTTGGCCACCGCTACCTTTCTTCCAACCTACTTCTACATCACAAAACATCGCTCGTCAAGACAGTTGGCAATCGAGCATACGTAACACATGTCCTAATCACCTCAATTGATGACTTTTCAGCGTGGAGCACAATGGACAATATGCTTTTATACAGATGAGTCATGTCTCAGCATTTATATTTTCAGATAAAACAAAAGTATGATCCTACGATACTGGATACTTTTCAAATTTGACAAAGGTCGATCGATAGCGTAACAACAAACTTAAATTTTCTTATTGTCACAACTGACCGTGGACAACAATTCTAGTCCCATTTTTTCTTCTCGGTGACGTAGCTTCTTGGTACGGAACACATACGGTCTACCATCCAAGATCGAATGGTTAAGTTGAACGGTTTTACCGCCAACTCAAAGGTGCCCTTAAGCCACATGAGGGCAGCAACTAGTTCGAAACCAGCCTGCTCGTTCTGCTTAGTATCAGCACTAGTTTTACTGTGGATATACGATTTTACGCGGACTTTGAACCTTAACATGGCTCGATATTGCATCTGCCTGGGGATCCCTTCACATACCAGAGCAGTGATTCTTCTGATATATCAGATTATGTCCATTGGCGATGTGCTTACATGTGAACACGAACATGAATGTCTCTAGAAAGTGAGGTTCTTCATTTCCCAGAAAGGACATCCTTAGACAGTTCGAAAGCCCGAGATAAAATTGTGAACGTAAGGAGTTCTGTTTCTCTCATAGAATAGAGAATTACTGAAATTCTCTTCAGGGAAACGTTATGCAAATACGTTCTCTGGATAAAGTCAAGGTTAGTTTGGAAATTTGAAGCAGGATAATATGCAAAGATTAATATAGACTTATTGAAATCCTGTAGTGACTTGACTTTCATGAAGAGAACGCGATTGGTTTAATAGAAACATACATTATTATAACCCATTGTACAGGTGATTGTTTTACTGAACTCATTTGTTTAATTGTACCCATAACAGACACCTTTATTCCTCCATTGACCTTGCGCTTGTTCGTGTACGCTTGGTAGTCTCGATTGTACATCTTGGACGGATCTTGGTATTATTTCTGTACCACGAAATCTTTAACGAATATACTTTAACTCCAAACGCAGCTGGCCTTTTGGGATTCAAAGCAGTTATCGGCCTAGTGTAGCTTCAACTCGCTTTACACCTAACCTTTCTACCGCAGAAGACCGATGTTTGAAGACTAATCAACGGTGTACAATAAATATACAACGAATAAGAATAGCAGTAAAAAACAGACAGCAATAAAGAAGGCCTAAACTTAAAAACATCTGGTTTAACATGGTCACAAATGAACTGCTTAAAAGTTGCGAAAACGCGTCCTTCCTTTGTGCACCGGGATACACTACACGTGCATGAGAAAGCGTCTTCTACATGCCTCATGCCCACAGGAATGAAAGAAGCTAATGGTAAATGACTTCTGGCAAACAGAAAGAGATATCATCCGGAATGGCGTCCTAAATAATGCACCTCAAGAAAATCACCCACCTTCAAAGACAAAAAAGTGGGTTGAGAGAGGCATTGAACGCTCGCTACAGACGAAGAAGAGAGACATGCACAGTTGTAAATTCTCTCTCAGGGATTCCGACAGTAGTTCTTAGGTGACTTTGTGAAACAGATGGGATTCTGAATTTTGATGTGACAGGAGACGTCATCATATGAAGCTAGCTACCAAAATGCAGGTAAATCCTAAGCATGACTAGAAGAAAACCTACAAACCAGGGTGCTTGTGCATTCAACGGTCCGAAAAGCGAAGATCAAATCAACCGAGGGATGACTGATATCTTCCACATTAACTTCAACAATAAATAAAATCATGTAACCACATATTCAAAGTACTGTTCAAACAAAGTGCACTTGGTGGTCTAGGTAATAATCCACTTACTCCTGGCCTCTTTCTGAGAAAAATAAAATCCTCAAGCCCCGGGAAGCCACAATGAGGCGTTATTATTTGCCCCATGGTCTTGAGACAGTGTGCATAAGCCCTCACTTCACCGATATGTAACTTGTTCAGGCATATACTGCAGTCAAACCAACTCCCAGCTGAATGGAAACAAGGTACTCTCTCTTCAATCTCCAAAGGACGAGATAGGAATGATCAGGGCTGCTAGTGACCTCCCTCATTAATACCAATACTATCGAAGGTAATGAAAGGGCTGGGGAGTCAACAAGTGAGGGGGATATGAATAAAAACAAAATCCCCCATTGGACACAACATATATGTAGGAGAAGCAGTATCCTTCCCAGCACTGTATAGAGCAGACGCATGCCCTCACTTTGAGGTTCACAACATCGTCACGCTCCTGTCCTTGATGAAAGAGACATAAAATTCGTGGATCGAATGCAGAGACGTGCTGTTACCTGGGTGATATGGTTAAAAAATAGCCATTACAAAGATAGTATCCTAAGCTTGTGATCATTCCCTTTGGCTTACAGGAGGATCAGAGGTAAAACTATAATGTCATACAACACATTAATTCTCTAAATCATCCCAACACGAACATCTTTTTGAAATATTACCACCACTCCTCTCGATGTAACCCTCGAATAATTGCACTTCACAGGATGCATATCTAGGTCCGCGTCGACTGTTTCTCATCAAGAGTTATTGCGACTTGAAATGCTCTTCCAGGCCGCTTCAATGGGTAGCTTCAGAAAGAGACTTGGTAAATACATAGTTACGTTCGGATTATCATTTCCCTCTTGGACCAATTTTGCCCGACACACGTCTCGGAATTTGCTCGTTGTTCTTACTGACGTTTCCTTAGATCACTGACTTGTTCTCCCGCCTATTATCTCTCTTTCCTCTCCCTTGCTTTTACTTCTGTCGTCTCGCACGATCCTTACTACCAACAGATTAAATTAAATTTTCATATATTTACTTAATTTTGAAATCTTCTCCGCATTAGGATTAGACTTTTTTCCTTATCAATCTCCACAACTCAACTAACTAGTCTTCGGCCTGGAGTTCTGACATCTTCTGGTATCCAGAAACTCTACTGTCCTGCTACAAACTCACTTAGTTAAATCACGGGATACAACTAACAAAAGACTAGAATTAATTCAGGGGAATGGCTAGACTACCGTACATCGGACAGAGCCAAATGCATGGAACCGTACAGAAAGAATAGGAATTGAACGCAAAGAAATCTATTGTTTTATACTAGCTAATGAAAAAGATATCGAATATTGGATTTTGCTTCGCTGCCGGAAAATACGAGACCCCAGATGACCTTGAGATTCCTAGCGAAATGAGGGTGAATTTGCTCTCTTCAATTTCTTATGGATTTCGGCTAGCGTGCCTGATTTCAAATCATTCGAAAATATCCAAAACTTTTTTCACGACTCAGAAATCCTTGTTGACTCAATTTAAAACATTTTCACCGCACATCTCCTGCAGGTTTTATGGACATGGAGTGCCATTGACCAAAACTATGATTGAGGACCGTGTTATGCTCGTGTTAAGACTTTACGATAAAATCGACCCTCACAAAGTTGGTTCTATTAGTATCACCGAACTCGCTATAGCTTACATTGAATTCAAAATTTAAGGATGACTTTGGGATAGACAGCTTAGATCATGTAGAAATTATCATGGCAATAGAAGAAGATTTCAGTAAGATTTTCGCATTCTCTAATATTTAGATATCGAAATCCCTGATATGGATTCTCAACGGCTTTTGTCGCCTCATGATATCATTCAGTATCTATGTGACAGGCACGATATTTACGATTTGTGACGGGAGTTTCAGACACTTGTTGGATGTACTTAGTATCAGTATTCAAAATAAACGTTGCTTTGCACTAAACTTTTTTTGTTCAATGTTCGCTGCTATTTTGACCCACAAACTGTTCATTTAGGTTTTCTGATTAACTGGGATGTCGCAATCTGACGATGATTCACATGACGAGTTGCCATTCGATATCGACGAAGTAAGTTTTTTAGACCTTGGTTCTTTATCTTGACTATTTTAGTCATACGTACCTCACAACATCGGTGAGGTGCGACAAAAAGGTTATATAATCGTGACAGAAGTGAAATCCTAGATTCTTACTATCATTGGTCAGTGTTAAGTTTCTGTTAAAAAGCAATAGATATTGTGATATATGACATTTAATCAGTTGTTCGCAACTAAAACGATTGATAGCGTACTTCACTTCACATCACCCGTACCTACTATTCAGCTGAATAGCAGCCGTCCACTTACGCCTGTTACCCTTGGTGGAGCATAAGCAGCCGACTAGCATACTCCGACCTACTCTGTCCCGGGCCTTCCAGTCAGTCAGTTAGTTACAAGGTAGAACTTCATACGTAAGTTTAGGTTGCCACACTACATTCTAAATGCTAAAAACCGACCACCATCCTTTACAATTTCAAGGGTTAGCCTATCAGGCCGTGCTGCTCTTCCTCGCTTCACATTTCATATAGCCTTTTCGACTTCATGAAGAGTCGGAGGACTTATATTGATTTACCAGTTAGGATGACCGAAATATGGATGAAGGCCAGTTAAACCGATCCCTGAGGTGTTCTGCCCATCGTTCCAATCTCCTGGATTGAGAATGGATAATAAGACCATCGTTTTCTGAGATAGTTTCGCTAACGAATGTGTTTCTAATACCGGTTTCCTTGATAAGTCGGAACAACTGTCTACTGTTACCTATGGCCGCTGCCTTTTCCATTGCTTTCGCTATCCTCCATTGTACGCGATCATTACGTAGGCTTCTTATCAGCCTGTGCTTAAGCTGACTTCACTCTTCGTCATGTACAGAGCCAGTTACGATGAGTTGGGGAGCGTCTATCAGTTCGGTGGATGCCACTAAGATCGACGGCATCTACCTAGCCATTTGGTTTACCATACTAGCAGATATCACTGCTGTTTCCACAACTTTTTGGATATCATTCCAAGCTGCCGCTGGATGGGAATCATTTACATGACCGCCTAACCTTTTTTCTAGTTGCTCCTGAAATATATGCTTTGCTTGGTTATCATTGACTATAAGTCGCAAACAAATACGCGCCCGCACCGGAATATGGTTCGAATCTAAACAAGTGCTCAAGAATGAGCGACAGTCTTCAATATAACCTCCACCGATAGCTGATAGCAATGTGGTCTATTTGGGTACATCGTTGGGACGACTTTGAGGGTCGCCAGGTCAAGAAATGTTTTTCCTTATTTAAATTTTGTGTTTGCTAGAAATAGGCGGGTCTTCCTTTCTAGTACCGTCCAATTGTTGTTCATTTTTCTCAAGTCTCTCTTGGCTCAATGTGTTTTTTGGTCCTCCTCTTTTCCTTTAGCCTTTAGGATTCCAAGTGAGGGCTTGTTTTGTGACGCAGTTGAGTGCTCTCCTCAGTGTGTGTCCTGTCCACTTCCAGCGATTCTTCCTTAATCCCTTCGCTCGAACCTGGTTTGTTCTACTCCATAGTTGGTTGTTGCTGATGGTGTCTGGCCAATGGATCCGAAGTATTTTGTTTAGACAACTGTTAATGAATACTTGAATCTCCTGTATGATGACTTTCTTAGTTCTCCAGGTTTCGCCCCATATTGTAGAACTGTCTTGACATTTGTGTTGAAAATTCTGATTTTGGTGTTTGTTGACAGTTATGTTGAGTCCCAAATGTTCTTCAGTTGTAGAAATGTAGCCCTTGCTTTGCTGATCCGCGCCTTCACATCTGCATCGTATACACTGTATTGTATAGGAGGATCTTGCTTTTCCCTTTGTGTGTGTTAAGATCTGCTGCTACACTGGTCGTCTTCTTCATTTGTTTATGGGAAAGAAAAGCCAGATCATTTGCAGAGTCAAGATCGTCCAGCTGCATCCTAGGTGGGCGTGTTCTGAGTCATTCATTTCTGTTCAACACCCTGGTAAAGACTTTTCCTGGTATTAATATAAAAGTGATGCCTCTTTTCTCCTCACACTTGCTGAGATAGCCCTTCTTTAGTATCTTGGTCAGGTGTCTTTCTAGCCTGTTGATACTTGTTCTTCATCCAAAATCTTGCTGAAGAGAATGGAGATTATCTTTGCAGTTATTACTAAATCTGCTTCCAGTGCTTCGGCTGGTATGTTGTCTGGTCCCCGCTGCTTTGACGTTCTTGATTTGTTTGATGGTCAAGCCGATCTTTTCAATTCTGGTGGGCCAACATTGATTGGGAGGTCTGTGAATGCTGCTTCGATGTTGGGTGGGTTCAGTGGGGCCGGTCGATTGAAGAGTTCTCCAAAGTGCTCTACCTACCTGTTTTGCTGTGCGTCAGTGTCCATGATAGTTGTACCTCGCTTGTTTTTCGCTGGTCGTTCTGGTTTACGATAGTTTCCACCGAGCTTCATTGTTGTATCTCATACTTATCTCATATTTCCTTCTCTTGCAGCCTTTTCAGCCATTATTGTTAGGTCTTCCACATATTGTCAGCTCTGATGCTCCTCTTCATTTGCTTGTTTGCTTCTGTGTATTCAGCTTGCACCTTGACTTTCTCTGCTCTTGTTCGGCTGATGTTGATTGCTGCCTTTTTGTTCCTCCTTTCTTGAATCGTTTCAAGAGTCCCAATGCCCCTTGGGTTTCAGTTTCATCTTGGCCACCAGCAAGTGATGATCTGAGGCTGTATCAACTGCTCTCCTGGTTCTCACGTCCTTCATCGTCCTTCTGAACTTTTTCATTGATACAGATATGGTCGATTTGGTTCTGAGTAGTGTGATCTAGTGAAACCCATGTAGCTTTATGTATGCGTTTGTGTGGGAATATTGTGCCGCCAATGACCAGTTTGTTGAAGGCACAGGGGTTTGCAAATCTGTCACCGTTTTCGTTCCTTTCTCCCAGTCCATGTCGTCCCATAATGTCTTCATATCCGATGTTGTCCATTCCAACCTTGGCACAGAATGATCAAGGCCTATACTGATAATTTCTTGACGATTGGCTGCAATCTCCCGTAGAATTAATCTTCATCGTCTTCAATGTAATCGTTGGTAGGTGTATAGCATTGGATGACGTTCATTGTAATGGCGTCTGTCTTTGTTTTGCAGGATGCTTTGATGATTCTAGGTCCATGAGATTCCCATCCTATAAGTGCTTTTTGTGTTTGTTTGGATAGCATCAGTGCAACTCCTTGTGTATGTGAGACCTTTTTGTTCTTCGTGACTGGAGTATAACAGCATCTCTCCTGAAGCTAGTCTTTGTTGTTCAACCTGCATCCAATTTGTTTAATTGATTACATGCACCACCACGTTGTATCTCTTCACTCATGCATCAACTCGGATGACTCTCCCAGTCTCCCACATTGTAAGAACATTCTATGTACTTAAATTAGTAGTTGATCTGGTTGTCAGAAGAGGCATCGGCCTTATGACTTTCGAATGAACTCGGCTTTCATCATGAGACATCTTAACTCTTCTAAATGAAGACTCTAGCTCCTTGGACAGAATTTAAATGGTCGAATTATTTGTTTTGATAAGCGTTTTTTAGCGAGTTAGTTTTCTGTGTTGTGGGGTCGCTAACCTCATGCCCAACCCTCCCCCTTTATCCGTGCTTGGGACTGGCAGTAGCCGGAGTGGGGCTCCAGACGAATTTAGTTGCATGCTACATCAACCTAAACCAAGCATTAGAAAGGGGTTTCGGATTCACAATATTCCGATACACTTCCAGTGGTCTAGAACGGACCTTGTAACTGATTTAATAAGGGATATTGTAAGGACAGGTCGCTTAAAGGTTATATGTCTATAATTTAAGTTCTGTATTGTATTTCAGAAGTTTGATAAGGTATGCATTATCAATAAACACCATCTCGTTGGATCTTAACTATGTATGATAAAAAAAATTCACATCAAGCAATACATTTTATTTTCAAGAACTAACTTGATAAAAAACTTACTTGGATTTCCAGGTAATGGCTGCCAAACGTAATAATCCTGGTATGTTTGTCAGTGCTTGGCAGGCGGATGAAAATGATATTAATCAATGGACAGATGATCAAATAAAAGGTATGGGTTGTTACATTATTTTGATTTCGGTTCTTTATGATGTAGAGAGTAGTGGTATAAACAGGGCTCATTTCCTCTCAGAATGCTCTCAGATGGCCACGTGTTTATAACCACTGCTAGAAGAGTTCTACTCGCGATCTGCGCGTGATATGGTTGCTTGCGAACTAGAGGGAACAAAAAGCGAATGTCTGGCACTTAAACAGGTTGGTGAGTAGTTTCAGATATGTCTACGCCGTACTTTAAAAGCCTTACCTGCGGTGACAGAAACTTATATTCCATCCTGTGGTCTCAACTGGATGGTTTAGCTCTTTGTTCGTCTAACAACGTCAGCACGTAACTCAGAGATAATTAAGCGATTAGAATTTCCGCACAATCAATTGACAGTTTATTCTGTTGATCTGGAGTTTGATCGTTTGTTATCCATAATTGTATGAGCGTTGTGGATCAATGTTAAACGTGATATTTTTAAGGAAAATCATTTGTGACCCTTTTTTCGTTGTACGAAGGTAGTATTATTGAAGATCATGAGGAAAACACCATACTACTGTCACATGCAGCGGTATGACTTCACCGTTGTTAGTATCGGTTTTACCATTCTCCAACCGGCCTACCTGTAGACATGAGTAAGTCGCGTCATAATCGTAAGCAGACCTGACTACCATGTCACTCTAAGCTACGATAGGGATGCATATTAAAACGTACTTGCACTCAATGAGAATAGATTTTTTTAAGGTATGCAGTTTTGTTAACTTCAAATCTGGTCCAGTTGTTATTGATTTTCAAACGGTGCGTCTCTGTTTACATGACAAATTCAAGTCCTTAGTAATAATGTTCGCATGAGCCCTCGTAAAGCTAATGATAGTTCTGTTCTAGGTTCATTTTTGTTTTAAAATAACAGTTGTAACAGAAAAATCAATTATTTCTTTTACGAGACGCATCAGTTATTTCAAGAAAGCAGCTAACTGACAAGTTCAAACTAGTACGCGAAATGCATGTTCAGAAGGTTGTAGTAATAACATTCAGCCACAATATTAGGAGGAAAAAAATTATGTGTGAATTGTAATTGAATAATATTTTTACCTTAATCATACTATTAGTTTCTGATGATTTATGCCGTTTTAAGAAATTAAAAAATGGCTTCACTCTTTGTCATTAAACGAAGTAAATAATGGCCTCTCTCAAGACTTGCTGACTTTCGTGTTTGTCCATTACTGGCACTCAAATATTCAATGTTGAGTTGTGAAAGCGGTTATCAAAAATGTTATAAATTTGTATATTATTCAATAAGTTACAGTCATTTAATAATATGATCAGAAATATCACTTAGATTAGTATGCACCAAACTGGATCTTTGGTTGATGTGTCCTAGAGCATCTCAGTAGCTTGAAACGTTATTTTGCATGGATCAAAGTAGATGCCAGTGGCGGTCATGTTGCTACTTTTTCTCATACAAGCAAGAGGAACATCTCTGTGGTGAAGTTTGGTTCTCTGAGTAAGATGTTTTGGTTGTGGAGCTTTCATTGTTCTTCTGAATAACAACTTCAGTCTGAAGCTTGTGCTGATGATGATGTTTTACAGAAAAACGTTCTGCTCAGAGAACGAAACTCCACCACAATCATCCACCTGAGCTGCGAATTTGCTCCACCATCTCAGAAACATCTTTGACTAAAAAATATCTTTCTGATGGTGTTTTCCCTAACTTGAACTCTTTCTCCCGCTATTTTTACCATTATTTCACTTTCACACTAATTTCTGTCCATTTTTTTAATTTTCACTATTCTTCCTCTATCTTTTCACAACCTCATTTTTATTGTGCGGTGTATACATATTTTGGTGCCTACTCGTATCAATATTGATGTTCACTAAATATTCTGTTGAGATATTAAAAAGACAGTATGAGCAATTAAATATTTCTCTTCAATTAGTTTTTCACCAAGGCTCTACATTAATAAGAAGTTAATACCAATCAAATGGTGGTGACGCAATTTAGTTATACAACGCTTGGAATATTAAAGGTAGAACATAATCAGTCGATATGAATAGTTACATAACATATATTAGTTGACTGATCATGTAATTTTATCTCACTTTTACTCATAATCTTCCAAATGTTATATAACTAACTAACTTTTATATTGTTAAATTGTAAAACAATTTTATTAGTCTAGAGCCTTAATGGAAACCTAATTAAAAAGAATTATTTATTCGCTTATACTGTCTTTTAAATATTTGTGTCTTAAATAAGTAATTATATTAACAATATTATTACTATCGATTTCTCGCTTACAAAAGTTAGAGTAGTCAGCAGTGTAATCAAGAGTACATGTTTCGTTCTACCTGATCATGAAAATATTCAACATCGTCTGTCTCAAATTCGTTAAGTGAACTATCTGACCAGCACAAAAAATCGACAGATAAACTGGGTTATTCATATTTTACATCACTTGTTGGGTAAAAAAATATCCATTTCCCAACTAAGGGACATGTATTGCTCTGCAATACGCTCCATCCTACTTTTCCTTTCCTCCACTAAGGATGGGGGAGAATTATAAATCACTAGTATTTGACCGTAGTTGTTTTCGAATCACTTCTCGTGTATTTCGAGACCACTGAGTAAGCAGTAAGCTGGGTTAGGAATATGATATCGTATAGGGATCGCAGATCGATTTTTGAAGTGATGCATCATCAGTGGATGTGGCTGAGATATGTGTACTTAACCGGGGAATGTTGTCTGTTGTAGGAGTAGACTGGAAGAACACTAGGAAAAGCCAAACTGATACATGAGATCAGATCTTGAAGTCATTGGCAGTTGGAATGAGCCATGTTAACAGATGCAGACTACCTGGTTGGGATTCGCAGGATAATTGTAATGAGACTTTGCACGAAGTGGCTGGAGATTGTTTTCACTAACACAAGTGCATCCATTCCTAGTCTTCTTCCATATTCTAAGCTTGTGAGTTCCTCATGACTTCTCATCTGTTTATTTCAGGGACTGACTGTATCTTCGATCCCTAATTTTTTTTACTCTCAGCGCTACTATTATTACCCCTGCTACTGTGGCATTTGGCCTGACAATGTCGTTTCTCTGTTATTATAAAGTGTTATAACTTGAAAAGTGAATAAATTACCGGGTATTACGTTGCGTTTGATTGATTGACCTTAGTTGTTTTACAAAAAAATAATTATCTGTAATTTTTTCCAATATGTGTCAATAACTTAATTTTCAAAAACGTAGTTTAGGTGATCCAAAGAAAAAATTTATTGTCGCTGCAGAAAACAATGATCTGTCTACTATCCTCAACCTCATTGAGTCAGCTAAAGATAAGGATCTTGAAGGAGCAGTCCAGTTAAATGAATTATTATCAGCTAAAGATCAAGACGGTTATACAGCATTGCATCGTTCGGCCTATGGAGGACATGTAGAAGTTCTACAGGTAAATAAGATTTGTACAGTGATTTAAGACTGTGCAAAAAGATATATTCAATGACACTTTAAGCTTTAATTTCAACACACTGTTTGTAGTTAATTTGTTTCTAGCCATTATGGTTCGACTGCCGCTTTCCTTTGATCATGGTTAACATAAGGCAGTAGAAAAAACATGACCTTATGGTGGGTCACATACTTTACGCTAACAATGGAATATTTTTTAAAATCAGTAAAAAAAATTATCAAGGAATTCTAGGAATATTGAGTATTTTGCTGGTTCAAATTTTCAGTACTGATTTGGAATAGATAAGTGTATCATCATCATCATCATCATCATCATCATCAACAGCAACGTAGAACTTTGCATGTAGTAAGTACAGCAGTTCAAGTTGCCATACCACATTAGTGTATCATACCAAATGCTAGAATATCTGCTTGCATTACTTAGAAAAGCTTGTGTTCGATAAACTTTCTCATTCAGTTAAATTTAAAACCGTGCAAAACATACTTCAGTAATAGTATTGTGTTTCTTCATTCACTCAAATGTATGTTGGCAATTCTTGGTTATTTTCTTTTTTATAGACTCAGGTAATGATCTAAACTTCGTTAACTGTTTAACTTAATATCCTTTACTGTCAGTCGTTTTTAAATATTTATTAGCTAGGTTCGGTAAATGTGGCTCGCAAAGTATAACTATATACACTCAAGTTTAAACTGCATTTGTATAGAAACCAGTATTATAACCTAGTTAGTTACTCGAGCAGGTTTTGAAACTGTGATTTAATAATTGAAAATCAAACGCTTTAATCAACCATTAAGCTTACATCCTCACAAGGGCAGCTAACATCGGAGAGTTCTTTTTTCCTAACTTGTGACTCTCCAACATTAGGCGTCTGTGCCCCCTAACTCAGGTACTGGATTAAAGCTTTTTAGGCCTGTCAACGAGCACTAAGTATATGCTTTCTATTTTAAAATGATTAAAAAGTTCACTGATGTTTCTGTGCATCATATTCAGTGTTATACATATTGCATGAACAGATACTTTTGTTTATACTTCTACTTAGTGTCTAATCAAATACGGAGCAAATGTAAACAATAGAACAGAAGATGGATGGACACCGTTGCACAGTGCCGCATTCTGGAATAAATTAGCCTGTGTTCAAATACTTATTGCAGCTGGTGCAGATTTAAATGCTCGTAAGTTAGTTATTTCTATGCTTTTGAATCAGTTTAAGTATTTACTAACAGATTGTAAGTCCCATTAACCATGTAAATCAAATACCAGCATTGTAACTTGTTCATTAGTAATCAATATATTCTGATCTTATTTAGCTTTGGTCATTGCTCTCCTGTAAGAATAGATTGTATCGTCTGAGTTTATATTTTTGAGTATATTATCTTTCTTTATAAAGTCTTTTTGTTTATCAAATATCAGTGCATAAACTATCGAATATTTTGTGTGCAAAGCTTTCTTTTTTGTGCTAGAAAATTCTCAAACTATTGAAATAAAACCTTGTCAAAATTTGACAATCAGTTTAGAAGTTTGCAATGTTGGAAACACCTCATTACACTTTAATTCGTCAGTATCTGTACGTAAAATATATCAGTGAAATTCAACTAATGATTCTATAATCAAATTCCTACCCCACATACCGGTGTCTCCTTCCATCAAACGATAGAAACTAGATATATAATATGATTAGACTTAACCCTAGCTAGTATAATAAAAATAGATTTTCCTATCGTATGATAATTTTCATTAATAAAGATAGCTTGTAAGTCCATCTACTACTGTGCATTGCCATATTCAGTCAGTCAGTCAGTTGCAACGTAGAACTTCGTACGTAAGTACATCAGTTCATGTCGCCATACCACATCAGCACAGAGATATAATTGTCAATTCAAATCCAATAGTAGAAGAGGTAGTAAAGGTGTTAGAAGTAATCGGAGAGGTTAGGATGAGAAGATATTCACGAAGTATGATTCAATGAGATAAGTTTAGAAAGTAAAAACTAGAGGTGTTGAAGAACCCAGAAGATTAGGATTTGAGAGAACACAAAGAATAAATGCACCGGCGCCATTGCGAACGATTTTGAGACATGTCATTCAAGGTCTCTAACCATCGATTATTATCATCTCGCGGACCCCAACCAGCTAGTCGACAATTACCGACATGGCTCAGTCCACTAGTCAATGACTTCATGGATTTCTGCCATGTTTTGGTCTGGCCGCCCCTAGCTTTCTTCCAACCTATTCCTACACTACAAAACAAAGCTCGACGAGGCAGTCGGTGGTTAGGCATACGCAACACGTGTCCCAACCACCTCAACTGATGAAGTTTCACCACTTCATCGATTGATCTGCCATTCTTACCTAGTACCCATTTCCTAATAACAGCATTGCTCACTCGTTTGTCCCACGATATACGAGCAATGCTTCGAAGACACCTATGATCGAAAACCAATAACCGACGAGTATCTTCTACTCTCATTGGCCATGTTTCACAGCCATAAAGTAAGACGGAGCGAACTACTGCGCAGTACACTCGTCCTTTAGTCAGCAAACGGATATCTCGCCTACGCCATAAGTGACGCAGGTTGACAAAAGCCAATCGAGCCTTCTGTATCCGTGCCGAGATTTCGTCAGTCACCAGGCCATCAGCACTGATGAGACTCCCATCATATTAACCTAACAAATATATGAACCTCATTCGAATGACCTAATGACTAGTTAATAATGCAGAATTCATTTGATACTCATACAATTTACTCCAACCCTTACTTCATTTTCTTTTGCGAAACATTGTCTTAGTGGTTGAATGGTCCGACTATCAACCACTGAGTTACTGGTCACAGTGTTATTCCTGAGCATCCCTCATACAAGATTTATCTCAAAGCCTAATACATAAATCTGTAGGTGACAAATCGCATCATGTTTATTTTTATGTTTCTTACTATTACTCTTCCTTATATATCTAACACTGGTTCTTTTTTATTAGTTACAAATAGTGGCCAAACCGCCTTACATTTAGCTGTTTCAAACAACCAAGGACCAGAGACATTATATTTATTAATGGCTCAACCCGGTGCACCAGTTTATGGCGTAGTCAATAAGTTGGGCGATGAAGTAGCCGATATTGTCAAAAGAAATACACCTTATGGAGATGTTTGTTATGCGTTCAGTGAACCAGCAACAAATTTGTCGCAGAAAATATAAACGATTCGCTTTTATCTATATTTCTTTTATGTCATTTTGTATGATTTTGTCGTTGAAGATTACGATCAGTTTATATTACGTTGACTGATGTAAAATAAGATGAGTAGCTTATGTTCGTACTTTAGGTATTTTTGTAATGTTACTCAGTTCAAACGAAGAGCATTTCTACTACGTTAGGCGTCTCTTATTCGCTGGCACTGTAAACCCAGCCACGTAACTGTTCCCTTATACTTCAAGCAAAGACTTATTACGATCAACCTATAGGGTTGAGAAAATGTATACTATGACAGATACAGGGGTTACAAAGATATAAATGGCAAGTCAGACATTCATCTGTCCATAAACACCAGCCAATCACCATCTACTTTAACCAACACATCAGGTGTTGTACTTTAAGTTAATTGCAAAGTTTCAGCAGTCACTCTGGATATCGTAATCAGATTATGATATGATCACGATTACTTGTCAGGATTTGTGTTGCCTACTGGATCGTTCATTGGATAGTTAGTATTAGACGAATTGGCTCTACATCAGTGATCATAACTCGTTTCAGTTCACTGCAACTATGCTCAGACAATCGCCTGTCCGTAGCGAATACTAACTTTAGGCATGTCAGGTCTCTGAGTCCAGCATTAATCTACTTTCCTTTTCAGGTTTCTCACGAAACACTCAACGTGTGGGAAGCCAGGAACTGACATCCGCCCTCATACCTGTAACAGCACGCGAGACCAATTTGGTCACAAACAAATCCTTCCCACACCTCTTAACATCTCTCTCATCTCTACGACTAACTCTTCTCACATTCTTTTGTCACGCTGCACCGCTAATGCAAACGATTTGAGTCCTCGAAACGTTGTTCCTGGTCTCTTGAAGCCCTGTTCTTAACTACATGTTGGAGCATTTAATGTGCGGACAATGTTTCAAATAGGGCAACAGGCTTCCTTTAGAATCTCGCGCCATCGATGTGTGCTGCGTCTCGGAAACGCGCATACAGGATCCGAGTAAAATCATCGATTTGATTTCACCTTGTGTAGATAAAGAATCAACTCGGTTCACGCTTCGCGTATCTAGAAGCCCTGCTATTGCTTCCCGTGGCCTCGCTTGTGTACGTATAGTACTAAGTCCTACGGCAGACTAGCCTAGACTGGATCCCAGTAGATAATCGCTTATGCGCTGTCCAACTAAACGGGACAGTAAGGACTCGGAAAGATAGGGACACTCGTCGTTGCCTCTTCGTCATATCAGCCTACACCCCACTGACTGCAGTTCGAACGAAGTAAAAGATGAGTTTTACAGAAACCTTTCTAACCTTCCTCAAAAAGTTCAGCGCTTTGATATAGTTATAATGGCCGGTGACTTCAATGCACAAGTAGGTAGACTAAATGAAAAGTAGACACCTTGGTAGACCTTATGGTGTCGCGGCTGATCAAACAGACAATGGCGACAATCTGCTGCTAATATGCTCAGATAACCGCCTATTCTTAGCAAACACTGACTTTAGGCATAAGGAAAAGCATCCTAGACCTGGTGACCCCTAAAGTCGTCCCAACTCTGGACCCAACTAGATCACATTGCCACCAGCCACTGATGGAGGTGTTCGATAGAGGACTGTCGCTCGTTCTGAAGCACATGTTTAGATTCAGATCATACCGTAGTGCGAGCGCGTATTTGTTTACGACTTGACGTAGGAAAGACACTGCAACGTAACCTTTAGGGTTCTACTTATTGATTGAATAGCTAAGAATATATTTCAGGAACAATTATAAAAACAGTTAGGCGACCATGTAAATGATTCCCATCCAGCGGCAGCTTGGAATGATATCCAAAAAGTTGTGGAAACAACAACGATATCTGCTAGTATGGTAAATCAAATGACTAAGAAGAAGCCGTGGATTTTAGTGGCATCCACCGAACTGATAGACGCTCCTAAACTCATCGTAACTGGCTCTGTACATGACGAAGAGTGAAGTCAGATTAAGCGCAGGCCGATAAGAAGCCTACGTAATGATCGCGTACAATGGAGGGTAGCGAAAGCAGTGGAAAAGGCAGCGGCCATAGGTAACAGTAGACAGTTGTTCCGACTTATCAAAGAAACCGGTATTAGAAACACATCTGTGAGCGAGACTATCTCAGAAAACGATGGTCTTATTATCCATTCTCAATCCAGGAGATTGGATCGATAGGCGGAACACCTCAGGGATCGGTTTAACTGGCCTTCAGCCACATTCCGGTCATCCTAACTGGCAAATCAATATAAGTCCTCCGACTCTTCATGAAGTCGAAAAAGCTGTATGAAATGTGAAGCGAGGAAGTGCAGCGCGGCCTGATAGGCTAACCCTTGAAATTGTAAAGGATGGTGGTCGATTTTTAACATTTAGAATGACCGGGACCTTAGGTAGAATCCGGGAACTAGACGTTATCCCAATCGCTGATCGTTCCAATTTACAAGAAAGGACAAGTCCTCTTGTGACAATCACAGAGGAATCAGCATAACTAATATAGTGTCGAAAATAGACTTCAATAGTACTTAGACGCCTAACTAGAGCTCATAAAGAGAAAACCAGGCTGGTTTCAAACCTGGACGTAGATGTATAGACTAGGTATTCACACTAGGCCAGATCCTAGAAAGTCACACGTTTAGACGTCCCACAATAGTAGCATTTCTCGAACTTAAAGAGACATTCGACGTTGTAGATCACGAGGTTCTGTGTTAGTGACTGTCATTAAAAGATGTACCAAATACGTACATTAACCTTATACAGGCTCTCTACTCGAACACTAATGGTCGAGTGAGAGCTTATAGCGAACTGTCATCGGAGTTTCTTACTTCAAGTGGTGTCCGTCAGGGATGTCCACTTTCTCGATTCTTATTTAACTTTGTCATATACTTGCTTCTAGAGTTAACCCCATTATCGTCTGACTTTTTAGGATTGGATCTTCTACCAATAGACACGCTTGCTGACTTAGAGTACGCTGATTGCATAGTCTTATTCGGTGAAGACGCTGACAAAATGCAGTCTTCTGGCAACCCCAAGCAACAATGCAAGCATGTTCGGGATGTGGTTCTCTCCGTCGAAATGCAAAATTTGGCTTCAAGATTGGCTCGCATCGGCAACCTATACTGGTGATGAGGAGTGAAGTGGTCGAGCGTGTCGTAATTTGAACAATGAGTATCGGAAAACACCGCACCCGACCCAGTTTAGATACTACGGTACTAATTGCTTAAGGTTAGTAACTGACCACTAAGCAATAGTGAAGATAAAATAAGACTACATGGACAACCTCTGAATAAATATATTTTCTAGCCTAGCCAACTTTAAGGTTCTTCGGATAAGTAACTACTACATAACAAGATAGAGACAATTGTTACATTAAATTGTATTGTCTGATGTACAGTTTACAGGTTTTAGATACATTTGGACATTCTACCTCACTACTGCCCCATCGACAAAGGGATAAATACGCTCCATATTGATATAGGATACTCAAGTGGACGGCCTTGATTTGTCACACCCAAGTATATGATCAGAGGAATATATCCAACGTGAAAAGCTATCCTTAGAAACTTGCACACCCTTGATAAATATAATTGATAACCAGTCTTTGGCTTTTGTAGTGTTGTGTCACCTAGCATAAACATTGTTGTTAGGTTGTTCTTGATGTAGCGGTTTACGTTTAGCCAGAAGGTGCTCAGAAAGTGGATGCGGTATTAGCTGGAAAGAACATAAATATAAAGTGAACAAACGAATTAGAGAGCACAAAGTGCAATGACACTTATAAAATTAGCAGTAATAAGGGGTAGATAAGAAGGAATAAGTGAAACAGATGTATTCTGATAATCAGAACTAGGAGTTGGAAAATCAGGACAAACAACTCGCACTTACAGAAGTACAAAGTTTGTTAAAAATTGCGCCACAACAATATCTATCCACAAGTTAGCATAAACCATTGCTTACCTTACTCTCGATTCTTGCTCTTTCGGTACAGTTCTAGGTATATGATGGTGTCCAATGGATGATGGTCATGCCACTTTTTTGCACTAATTATAGTCAGTTGTTTGTGAGATGGTGGAGAAAATTTGTAACTCGGGTAGGCGATTGTAGTGAAGTTTTTTCAATATCCAAAACTTTTTCCACGAACTAATGTAAACCGATTGATTTCTTTGCTTTCGAATCTTGTTCCTTCGGTAGAGTTCCAGGTGTTCGGTAGTGTCCAATGAATGGGGATCTAGCCACTAGACTGTCTAATCCTAGTCAGTCGGCAGTGGTTTATGAGTTTTTATGTCGTGTGAATTAAAAGAATACGTTTGTTTCATGGCAGTAGGATTTCTGGATACCAGCGGCTATCACATTACCAGACCGGAGATCAGTTAGTTGCAATGTGTGGAATAATAAAAAGAAAATATTTTGGGTAATAACAGTAAGATTCCAGAAGTATGTTAACAAATTGATAATTTAGTTTATTAATTGGTTGTGAAGATTGTGAGAGCTGACCAAACTATAAACAAGGGGTAGGAATCAGAGATAATAGGTGAGATAGATAAGGTTAGTGATCTGAGGAGATGTCAGTAATTAGGATAAACAAGTCCCAAGGCATTCATCAGACACAGCTTGTTCACGAGGAAGAGCGGTAATCCGCATGTGAGTACGTGAACGTCATAATCAGGTCCCTGTGGTTCTCCTGTAACTCAGTGGGAATAATCCCAAATGCTGGAGTCTCTCTTCGAAAGGTTTGTTCTTCAACCCTATCAACATAACCTCGAAATATATGTGAAGTATTCTTACTTCTCCCGATTGAACAGTAACTGGTTCTGTTAACCCCGATCTCAATTAGTTGTTATTGACCTTACACATGTTAATGGCACGTTTTCTGATTATATCCCCCTTCGATCTGTTTCCTTATCCTGTGTCTTACTACGATTTTTCTGACTGGTTGATCTATTGGGTCAATGTCAATGTGTTTATGGTCGCAGATTGTCCTATGTGTTAAGCTTCTAAAAATTTTGTAGGTTTGGTTGTGTTCCCCTATCCAGTATTTCAACACTGTTCCAGTCGGACTTATGTCCGTATTTTACCTATGTACTGATATAAAGAAGGAAGTGTC